TTATAAAGCAGAAACTAACACACCATTGTAAAGCAATTATACTCCAATAAAGATGTAAAAAAAAAAAAAACAAAAAAAAAAAAAAAAAAAAAATGCCTATGAAAATGCCAAGGACATAGAATTACAGTGACAATTTTGATTAAGAACAAAATTAGAAGACATATACCACCAGATGCCAAGATTTACCATCAACCTGTTTTCACTAAAAATATTTGGTATTCAACAGAACAATGAGTCAGAATAGATAATCTAGAAATAGACCCCCTCACATAATCTGACCATCTGACTTATCACAAGGGTACCCAAGGGGGAGGGGAAAAGATGGTCTTTTCAACAAATGATGTTGAATAAATTGTGTATTTGCATGGAAAATATTAAATTGATCTCTACTCCACACCATATAAAAATATCAGATGGATTGTAGCCTAAAAATGAAAAGTAAAACAGTAGCTATGCAGAAGTAAACGTAGGAAAATATCCTATGACTTTGGGTTAGGAAAAGATTTCTTAAACGAGGCACAAAAAAGCAGTAATCATAAAAGAAAAGATGGTTGAATTATTCATCAAAGTTAAAGACTTCTGTCCATCAAAAGACAACATTTAGAGAGTGAAAAGGCAAGATGCTGATGAGTAGATATTTGTAATACAAATATCTAAAAAATACCTTGTATCCAGAATATATAAAGAATCCTACAAATAAACAGAAAGAGTTATCAATAAAAATGGGCCAAAGTCTTGAACAGGCACTTCTCAAAAGAGGATATTCCAAAAGCCGATAAAAACCTAAAAGGGGACTCAACATCAGTAGAGTAAGGAAATGAAATTAAACCTATAGTGAGATACCACTACGCACTGGAACCAGGCTTTGGCACCTTAGCAGTTCATGGAAACTGCTCTAGTAAAGGTGCCCTGTATCATCTCCATCCCCTAACCTGATGGACACCTTTCAGTTCTTATGTCACTTGAACCTGCTGACCTTACTCCTCTTCTACCTTCTAAGGCAGGGAAGGGAGATGGGGTTTAGGTGTGGTGAGGGTTTGAAGGTAGATACGAGCAGCCAAAAAAGTTGACATCAAGTCATGTAGACTGTTTGACAATAGAGTTTCTCAAGGATAGTATTTCGAGGTCAGACCCTTAAACTTTCCAATCAGGAAATGGTATATTTTGTCCAAAGTAGACACATCTCCTGGTAATAGTTAATAAATTTCACTATTAAAATTCAATCAGAAATAGTCATTTCAACCACAATGTCAAATTATTCATTTTAAAATGGGAGACAGCTCACATCAGTCACCCAATAGCCCCTTCCCAATATTAAGACTTATCCTAGCATTGTGGGAGGAGTATTTGATTTTCTTTCCTTCAGTCTCCACTGAAGTGTAGCTCTACATGCCTTGTCCTTTTCAGATGTCAGGTCCACGGTCTCTTAGGGCCTTCCAGTACCAGGGTCACAGCCTCTGGGTTCCCATTTTGACTCCAGGACTCTCTTAGTATTTCCAGAACTTCCAAGCTTTTATACATGGACTTTGGAGTTTTTGGCTGTTTCCCTCTCTATACTCCATCACACAGTGTTCTGAGGGGCTGTACACAGACCTTTACACCATTGTGATCTTTCCTTTGGTGCCATGTTGAAAGTGGAACTTGTCTCTGAAGCTTGCAAGTCTTCTGGTCTATAACCTGGACACAAGTTCCAGATATTCTCGGATATGTTTTTCATCTACCTGAAATTTCTATTACCTCCTCCAAATGAAAGTGAGAGGGTGGGCGGGTCCTGAAGTGCTGGATAACTTCTTTGGAATCTAGGTGGTAACAAGACCAGTTTCCATGCTCTTAGATCCATGACCACTCCTGCCCTGCCAAGGTATATCCAGAACCTAGGGTAATTCCTGGCTATCACAGGCGTCTAGTAAATTAGCTTCACAAGAAAAATAGGTTTTTCATGTTTATATAAATATTACATGCTCAATGGAAAGAAAAACTGAGAAATACAGAAAAGCAGAGAGAGGTAAAACAAACAAAAAACACTGGATTCTGCAACAAATCTAAAACAACTGTCATTAACTTTTTGGAGACTGTCCCTTCATTCATGGCTATCAAAAGTTCACACAAATACATAGTTTCATACCATACATACTGCATTTACATTTTTCTATTTTCCTAGTCCCCCCCCCACTTATATCACTGCTTCTCCTTTTCTCCCTTCCTTCAAGGTAACCAATATTAACAGCCTGATGTATATTCTTCCATACTTGTTTCCATGCTCATCTAATCACATGCACACATATATGCATACATAAATGCGTGTGACCATTATTTTAACAAAAACGAAATCTTGTACATATACGTCTCTGTAATAAAGCAATTACTTATCAAAAAATTGTGGAAATACCTTGAAGTCAACTAGTGTAGCTATAACTCATTCTAAAAATTACTCTCGGGGCTTCCCTGGTGGCGCAGTGGTTGGGAGTCCGCCTGCCAATGCAGGGGACACGGGTTCGTGCCCCAGTCCGGGAGGATCCCACATGCCGCGGAGCGGCTGGGCCCGTGAGCCATGGCCACTGAGCCTGCGCGTCCGGAGCCTGTGCTCCGCAACGGGAGAGGCCACAGCAGTGAGAGGCCCACGTAACACCAAAAAAAAAAAAAAAAAAAAAAAAAATTACTCTCATACTTTTCCATGGTATGGCTATATCACAATTTATTCACCCATTCCCCTATTAATTGGCATTCATTTTGTCTCCAGTTAGGTTTCTTCTTTGTCTCTACAAACAATACTTTAATAAACATCCTTATTTATACATATGCTTTTGCACTGATGCTATTATTTCTGCGGGGCAGATTCCCCAAAAGTGAGACTGCTGGGTCAAAGTGCTTTTAAAATTTTACTTAAGAATTAAAAAAATATATACCGCTGGATTGCTGGTGGAAATATAAGTTGATATAACCATTTGGTAAGAGTATATGGTTTGCCAAACTCCACTAGCAAAAGATCTCTTAATTTTTGCCAACTCCATGAAGTGGAAGTAACATATCATTGGTTGTTTCAATTCGCGTTTCCCTGAGTATTGTTTATTTAGGTTCATAATATTTTCATAGGTTAATGCATCTGGAGTTGTTCTTCTATGAAGAGCCATCTAGTCCAGATGGATTAAAACTTCAATGTAAAAAATAAAATTATCAGAATATTAGAAACAAATTTAGGAGACTATATATAACCTGGGGATTACTAAAAGAGTAAATAAAGAATATAAAAAAGAAAAGATGTAAATATTTTACTATGAAAAATTAAAGACTTAAAAATCTTTTACTACATAAAAAAGTACAAAAACAAATACTAGGTTAAGAAAAACATTTGCAACACATATGTCAAATGATATCTCAAATATATTAAGAGCACCTCCAGATTTATAAGAAATATAAACCAATAAGAAAATCGGCAAAAAAATAGGCAATTCATTGACGATAATTAGTTAAATGAATAAAATATGAAATTTGGATGAAGGCTTTCATTTGCCCTTTTTATTATGAATTTTCTTATAACTTCTAAGATTTAATATGACCAATTGCTTTTCTACATTCTTATATTTATGAAGTGTGTACTTTCTGGCAAATTGCTCCTGAACATTTTCCCACATTCATAAAATATACAGTTTATAAGATTCTTGTCATATCTGGATGATAATTTACTGTCCTCTATATTAATTGAGCTTCTCTCTGATGTATTCTTTGATGTACAGTAAGGCTTGAGCTACTCCTAAAGGCTTTTCCACACTCACTACATTTATAGGGTTTTTCTCCAGTGTGCATCCTCAGATGTACAGTGAAGTCTGAGTTAGTTCTGAAGGCTTTTCCACATTCTTCACATCTATAGGGCCTCTCCCCAGTATGAATTCTCTGATGTAGAGTTAGCTGTGACAGAGTAATACAACCTTTCCCACATTCCTTACATGTATAGGGCTTTTCTCCAGTATGTGTTCTCCAATGCACTGTAAGGTATGAACCTCTCCTGAAGGCTTTTCCACAGACATCACATTTATAGGGTTTCTCTCCACTATGGATTTTCTGATGTTCTGTGACATGTACCATCTGGCTAAATGCTTTGCCACAGTCATTACATTTAAATGGTTTCTCCCCGGTATGTGTCCTTTGGTGGGTATTAAACCCTGAGTTACTTGTGAAAACCTTCCCACACTCATTACATTTATAGGGTTTTTCTCCAGTATGCCTTCTTTGATGCACAGTAAGCTGTGATGTATTAGTGAAAGCTTTCTCACATTCATTACACTTATATGGTTTTTCTCCAGTATGGGTCCTTTGATGTACAATAAGGTATGACTTAGTTCTGAAGGATTTTCCACAATCATAGCAGTTGTAGGGTTTCACACCAGTATGAATTTTCTGGTGCTCCTTGAGATTTACCATCTTGGTAAATGCCCTCTCACAGTCCGTACATTTATATGGTTTCTCTCCAGTATGAATCCTCTGATGTACAGTTAAGTGTGATTTTATTCTGAAAGATTCCCCACATTCATTACAGAGATAAGGTTTCTCCTCAGTATGAATTCGCTGATGTATAATTAGAGATGAAGAACGCATGAAGGCCTTTCCACATTCATTACATTTATAAGGTTTCTCTCCTGTATGCATTCTGTGGTGTACAGTAAGGCATGAATAATTAATGAATGCTTTCCCACATTCATTACATTTATAGGGTTTTTCTCCTGTATGAATCCTCTGATGTTCTGTGAAATTTGCTATACGATTGAATGCTTTCCCACATTCATTACATTCATAGGGTTTTTCCCCAGTATGAGTTCTTATATGTACAATAAGGCTTGAATTACTTCTATAGGCTTTCCCACACTCATTACATCTAAAGGGTTTCTCTCCAGTATGAATTCTCTGATGAACATTAAAGATTGTGGTATTCTTGAAAGATTTCCCACACTCAATGCATTTATATGGTTTCTCTTCAGTATGGGTCTTCTGATGTACACTAAGATATGACTTATTCCTAAAGGCTTTCCCACAATCATTACATTTGTAGGGTTTTTCTCCATTGTGAGTTTCCTGATGTCTTGCAAGTTTTGATTTATCACCAAAAGCTTTCCCACATTCACTACATTTATAGGGCTTCTCTCCAGTTTGAATTCTCTGGTGTTGATTAAGGCGGGCACACTGGCTGAAAGATTTTCCACAGACATTGCACTGATAAGGTTTCTCCTTAGTATGAATTCTCTGATGCACCATAAGGGATGAAGAAGCAATGAAGGCCTTTCCACATTCATTACATTTATAGGGCTTTTCTCCAGTGTGAATTTTTTTATGTTGACTAAGATATGAAGGCTGGCTGAACATTTTCCCACATTCATTACATTCATAAGGTTTTTCTTTAGTGTGAGTTCTCTGATGTTGAATGAGTAATGACCTATAACGGAAGGCCTTTTCACATGTACTACATTTATAGGGTTTTTCTTTATTATTGTTTTTTTTCTCTAAAGTGAGTTCTGAAGCAGGGCTTATGACTTTGTTGCCTTCTGTATCCTTGCACATTTTCTTCCCCAGATGGGTGTCTGTAATCAAATCTAAATTCTCTGTAAAATTTTCCTCATGTGTTTGGTATTTGCTGTGGGGCTCTTCTGTGATAACTCCTGGTTCTGGAAAAAGAACAGATCCAAATCTAAAGCCTTTTTGAAGAGTGGGAATTTTCTTGTGTTTAACTATTCTTTGACTCAAATGACTTTCTTGACTATCTTGCAATCTCAATATCCTGTCACTCCATTTCCATAATCCTCCCATTTTGGTGTCCCATAGACCATTCTCTATGAGTTTCTCTACTATGGTCTCCTGTGATAAACATTCTTCAGAAATATTCTCTGTTGGTATAGCATTCTTAGTTGTAGGTTTGGTCTCCAACTCTGGGAGGAAAAAAGAGAGAAATCAAATGACTCCTATTTCCTAGGTTGAGGACATCACACTAAACAGGAAAACAGAAGTGAAGCTTGAATTGATAATGAATATATGTTTTTAACTGCTTGCAAATTGCCTTTTCTAGGAACGAGGAGACTGCATTAAGGAAGGCTGATTGAGCAAAGAACCAAAGCAGTAAATTCAAGGAGTTTTTATCCTATTAAAAAAAATTCATTTGTGGTAACCCTTGTACAATCCAAGTTTCTCAAATATTTCCTCCTTTTCTCATTCGTTTTAGTTTTTTATTTTATTTTCTTTTATTTTATGCGGTATGCGGGCCTCTCACTGCTGTGGCCTCTCCCGCTGTGGAGCACAGGCTCCGGACGCGCAGGCCCAGCGGCCGTGGCTCACGGGCCCAGCCGCTCCGCGGCACGAACCCGTGTCCCCTGCATCGGCAGGTGGACTCAACCACTGCGCCACCAGGGAAGCCCTCTCATTCGTTTTAGAGTCAAATTCTTTAGAGAGCATTCTTCCTAAGTTGTAACTACTTCCTTGCTTTCCACTTACTCCACAAACCAGATATTCACCCTAAATAATACTTTCTACTTGTTCTCGCTATTTGTTCACTATTTTTTAAAAATTTATTTTATTTTATTTATTTTTGGCTGCATTGGGTCTTTGCTGCTGTGCATGGGTTTTCTCTAGTTGCGGCGAGTGGGAGCTACTCTTTGTTGCAGTGTGCAGATTTCTCACTGCGGTGGCTTCTCTTGTTGCGGAGCATGGGCTCTGGGTGCATGGGTTTCAGTAGTTGTGGCAAGTGGGCTCAATAGCTGTGGCTCACGGACTCTAGAGTGCAGGCTCAGTAGTTGTGGTGCACAGGCTTAGTTGTTCTGTGGCATGTGGGATCTTCCAGGACCAAGGCTTGAACCCGTGTCCCCTGCTTTGGCAGGCAGATTCTTAACCACTGTGCCACCAGGGAAGCCCTGTTCAGTAGCTTTTTCGTGAGGGCTTTCTCAAATTTCCCTGTCAGAATAGCTTTTTCAAGTCTTTATATGTACCTATTTTTTTCTTTTGATTTAGTAGATTATTTTGTATTTAAAAAAATTTATTTATTTAAGGCAGATTCTTAACCACTGTGCCACCAGGGAAGCCCTGTTCAGTAGCTTTTTCGTGAGGGCTTTCTCAAATTTCCCTGTCAGAATAGCTTTTTCAAGTCTTTATATGTACCTATTTTTTTCTTTTGATTTAGTAGATTATTTTGTATTTAAAAAAATTTATTTATTTATTTATATTGAAGTATAGTTGATTTACAATGTTGTGTTAATTACTGCTGTACAGCAAAGTGATTCAGTTATACATATACATATATATATACACACATTCCTTTAAAAAATATCCTTTTCTATATGTAACTTTTTATAGAACATTTGTGGAAGAAGACACTTTGTTTTCAGAAAGTAGGTTGAACAAAGTCAAAATTAATACAGTTGTGAATATTACAAATAGTGATAATTACTATTATCAAGGGTAGTTTTGTAACCTTTTTATGGGTCTTTAGAACATTTCTGACAGTTTCAAAATTTTCTTAAACAATTATACTGGGGGGTCATGGTCTAACAATTTGTATATGTGAACTTAATATTTTACTTTTTAAAACACTTTTAAACTTCTTATAAGTTTCTAATTTATTTCCAGGTAATCATATCTAAATGTTTTTTAAAAAATTGAATCAAAATATTCTGTGGTTAGTAAAATGGCTTTATGACTTTAAAGCTCAAGGTAAGTAGAACTTTCAATGGATTCACAGGGCTAGACAAAGATTTGAATTCAGGGTCACCAAAAAAGAAAACTCTAGAACCCAAGGACTAAAACCCAGCTCATTTAAATGTCCAATTCAATTAAGGTGACAGGAATATTTTTTTAGGCAAAAAGAAAAATGGAGAAAATATAACACCAGCAGATCCGAATAAAGGAGAATATTAAAGGGCATTCTTTAAGCAGAAGAAAAATAATCCTAGGTAAAAGTTCAGAAATGAAGAAAAAAATGAAGAGAGAGAAGGGAAACATCAGTAAATCTGAATGAATACTGACTGCATACAAATTAATAATGAGATCTGACATACATAGAATTAAAATACATAACTTCAATAATGTGTAATTGAGGTTAAACTGAATAAGCTGTTCAAGATTCTTGTACTGTTTGGGAAAATCTGTAACCACTAAACAAATAACTTAAAAATTTATAATTACCAACTGATTACAAGGGGAATAGAAAAATAAAAGATGATAAATCAAAAGGAAGGCATGAATGGGAAGAAAAAGAATACAGAAAAGGCAAGATACTCTCACAGTTAGAGGATAAATTTAAACATTATATAATTGTATTATGTACAAATGGATTAAAAACTCCAGAAGATACAGATTGTCGGATTAGTTAAAATAAAATTTAACAAAATGCAATTATAAGAGAAATAAAATACAAAGATACATGAAAGATGACAGTAAGCAGATAAAAAAAGATATACCATATATACAATAAAAAGAATGATGCTATAGTAATATTAGTATCAGGCAAAATAGACTTTAAGGCAAAAACAATTAACAAAGATAAAGAAGACACTTCATAATGATAAAAGATCCAATTTACCAGAAAGATATAACAATTCTAACTTTGTTTTTACCTAAGAACACAGCTTCAAAATACATAAAGCAAAAATTAAAGAACTAAGACACAGACAGATCTATAAAAAAAAAAAAAAAGAAAAAAAAAAAAGTATGGCAGTCTTTATAGCCTTAAATACATTAGCAAAAAAGAACGGCTAAAATCAATAAGTATCCAACTCAAGAAGTTAGAAAAGATAAGCAAATTAAACCCTAAGAAGGTAAAAATAATGAAAGAGAAGTAATGAAACAGAAATCAAAAACACAGTAGCAAGGATTAAAAATTATTTTTTAAAAGCCAAATAAGATTGACAAATCCTAGCAAGACTGATTAAGATAAAAGAGAGAAGACAAAATATTTAGTATCAGGAATGAAAAAGGAGACATCCCTTCAGATCCACCATATAGTCATTTAGAAGACAAACAGAGCATAGTATGCCCCCAAATTTAAATTTTATATTAAGTAGATAAATTCCTAGACAAATACAACTTATTAAACTGAAACAAAAAGAAATAGAAAATATGAGTAGTCCTACAACTACGAAAGTAATAGAAGCTGTAATTAAACACCTTCCTCAATAAAAGCTTTAGGCCAACATGGTTTCCCTGGTGAATTCCATGAAATTTCTAACTTCCTCTCTCTCACAACTCTTTTCTTTTTTCTTTTTAAAACATTTATTTACTTATTTATTTGGTTGCACCGGGTCTTAGTTGTGGCATGCATGTGGGCTCTAGTTCCCTGACCAGGGATCGAACCCGGACCCCTGCGTTGGGAACATAGCGTCTTATCCACTGTGCCACCAGGGAAGTCCCTCACAACTCTTTCTTGTCCTCACTGTAAGCTGATGGGCTTGCTTTGTATTTTATTGAGAATAAAGAAGCTATCATCATAGGATGTCTCAGTCTTCTCACCACCAGTTGACCTATATCTGCTCCCATCTTCTCCATCCTGCCTAGTGTTACTGTAGAAGATGTGGCCTCCCTGCCTATCAAGGGTAAATCTCTCCTTTTCCATTCGTGATTTTATCCCTTTTCACTTTCTCAGACATTTTAGTTCTTCAGTGACCCTACCTTTGTCTTGCAACATCAATTTCTCCCTCTCCACTGGATCATTCCTACCAGCACTTAAGCACGTCAGAAAAGCTTCCATCTCAAAAATAAAAGTTTTCTTTTTTTATTCTTTCTTTCTTCCAGCCACTGCCCCATTTCTCCTTCCCTCTTCATATGGAGGGGGGCTTTCTCTAGAGAGTCATCAAAACTATCTCCAATGTTTACCTTTCACTCACTCTCTAAAAATACATATATAATATCTGAGGTATAAAAATAATATATGTAACACATGTGCAAGTTATGGATGGCATCACAATAAAATATGCAAATGATCTAGAATCCATTATTCCTTTCCATCTCCACCATCACCCTAATCAAAGTTACTATAGTCTCTTGCCTAGACTATTTTTTTATTTTTTTAATTAAAAAAATGTTTTTTGGCTGTGTTGGGTCTTTGTTGTGGTGCAGGCTTTCTCTAGTTGCAGCAAGTGGGGGCTACTCTTTGTTGCAGTGCACAGGCTTCTCATTGTGGTGGCTTCTCTTGTTGTGGAGCATGGGCTCTAGGTGTGCAGGCTTCAGTAGCTGTGGCACATGGGCTCAGTAGTTGTGGCTCACAGGCTTAGTTGCTCCGCGGCATGTGGGATCTTCCCGGACCAGGGCTTGAACCCGTGTCCCCTGCATTGGCAGGTGGATTCTTAACCACTGCGTCACCAGGGACATCCCTGCCTAGGCTATTTTAACTACCTTTTTACTGATTACCTGCTTTATGCCCTTAAGTTCAATTTCCATCAACAGGGTTATTTCCCAAAGATCCTTGATTAAAACCTTTCAGTGCCTTCACACTCACTTTGATGAAAATCCACTCTCCTTACCATGGTCCACAGAGTCCTGAATAGGCAGTCTCCTGTCTGACTATCTTATTCTGTACCAGTCTCCCTCTCCTTATGCTTCAATCAGGCAGCTTCCTCAGATTTCTAGAACTCAGTACATTACGTTCTGCTGCCTGGAATGGTCTCCTCTTGTCTTGGCTGGCTTCTTCTGACTCTTCAAGTGTCACCTCCTCAGAAGCCTTCCCCGACCACACTATCTGAAGGAGGCACCCTCATCCCCATCCAAGTTACTCTTTCGTATCTTCATGGCTAAGTAATTATGACCATTATTTAGCTTGCTTTTGTTTATTTACTTGTCAATTATCTATTTCTCAAAATTTAATCTTCATGAGAGAAGGGACCTGGTCCATCTTACTGCTGTAGACATAGTACTTAACTCAGTTCACAGTATACAGATAAGTATTAAATATTGATTGTTTAATATTAATAGATATTGGTTAAATACTATATTTTGATTCTCAACTGATTTACTGTTTGTATTCTCAATTAGTTAAGATTCTGGAGGACAGTAGGAGGGTTCCTCTGAAGTTTCAGCAGGCATGCAAGTGAAGAAAGTTAAATAATTAGTCAATGGATTTAGCTTAGAAATCAGTGGTGATCCTTAAGAAAGCACTTTCAGGAAAGTTAATGAAGGAAGGGATATCAAATAATGGTTAAACAAATGAGAAAAGTGTAAGGTTAAATGGAGAGGACAGACTGAAAGGGATATTTTATGCATATTTGAAGGAAGGAACAAATATGAAAATCATGCTCCCAAGAAAGTAAAGTAGGATGTGATGGGAACTGGAAGTAGAGGGCAGAGATGGCGGGAGAGGGAAAAGGAGAGGGAAACAGAGGGAGAGAGGGAGGGAAGGCAGGAGGGAGGGAGGAAGGGAGGTGTAGGGAGAGAGGAAGAGAGGGGGAGAATCTTTTCCTTTGAGATAGCTTTGAGCAAAGATACCCCTCAAAATATTTCAGATGTTCTGCTCCATCCATGACCTACTGACTTCAAAGAAATCTCATCCTCCGGTTCTTATTAACTCACCTGAATAGGGGTTTTTTGAAGTTTCTCTCACTACCACCCATGGTCCTTTTCCATCCTCCAAATGAGATATCATGTCTGGTTTGGAAACTGCAAGCCCTATTCAGAGAAAAATGAATAGGATTTGATTGTGCCTGTGAGCAAGAACTAGGGCCAAATTCAGTTTCAGCTCCTGATCTTCTGTGCAGAGTGGTTACTACAAGAAGTTTTAGGGGTGCACTGTCCAATGCAGCTGACAATAGCCACCTACGGATATTTAATTCTGAATTTAAGTTAGTTAAAACTGTATAAAATTTAAAATTCAATTCTTCAGTTGGACTAGCCAGATTTCAAATTCTCAACAGCCACAGTGTAGAGCCTGCTACACTGGAAAGCACAAGTACAAAACATTCCCATCACAGGAGAACACTCTAGTGTACAGCAGTGTTGTAGAGAACTACAAAGGTACCTCAAAGAAGCTCAACATGATGATCCCAGGTTTGGGGATAATCTAAGTTTAGAAAGAAAATAGACATATTTGTTCCTTTCTTTCTAGAGGCACTGATAAATCTTATGGAAGTGACTAGAAAAAACAGTCCTAAATAGGAGGGACTGTCAATAGTCTCCAAGATTCCAATGAAATATGTATTTCTTACTCTACAATGGGCGAACCACTGAGTTAAGAGCAAGAGACAGCATAACTCCCAACAATATGCCCCTAAGATTATGAGATTTTAATGCTTAAATTCTAACCCAAAATTCAGTTAAGTACTTTAGAGGGTCTGTATCTTCAGTAAACCTGGCCCAGTGGGCAGATACATAAACCTGGAGGTTACCCTTACCCAAGGAGACAAGATTCCTATAATTCTCTAGCATCACATCCTTGTGCAGTTTCCTCTGTGTAGGGTCCATCAACCTCCACTCTTCCAATGTGAAGTCTATAGCCACATCTTTAAATGTCACTGATTCCTAAAATAAATACAGAGATCACTCAGGGACTGTACAGTTAGACCTATTAGGCAGATTAATACATACAAAACTGGGGAAGAAAACTAGAAAACTAGTAGTTTCCAGCCAAATCATCTTTTCTCCCTCAGAATCCTGCCTTATGTATAATATCCTCTTTTTCAGCTCTATTCTATAAAATATGGCTTAATAAAAGACACAGTTTATCATTCAGATTGTAGATATAGAATATTATAAGCTATTTATCTGAGAGAGAAAAATAAGAAATCGTGGGACTTTGGGGAGCTTCTCTGGTCAGGATATAAAATATATGTATATATGCTTGTAAAAAAAAATCAAAGAATGAGCCATAAAATTGTTTTAATGGTTGGTTATCTATTGGAGGGAGGGGGAAACAGAGTGAAGAGGACCGGAATAGAAGCTAGATTCCCTTGAATATTTCTTGTTTTTTAGATTTGACTTTTGAACCATGTAAATATATTATTATAAAAGAAAAACTAAATAAAAAAGCAATTTCTAAATATTAAAAGTAAAATGAAACCAGGTGGTAGCATACACATTCATCAGAGAGGAACTATTTTGAGTATCTTTAAAACATAGTAATTTTTCTGTATATCTCTTGTGAGATATATCCTGAGGAGAAAAAGAACTGTAAAAAACTAAACAACACATTTTCAGTAAAAAATCATTATTGTTGGTGGCAGTGATGGAAATGTTATTTTGTAACTGTTGCGTGTGTAGTGTTGGATAAAGCAAATTAGTATTGATATCATTGAGAACTAATAAATTTGACATGGGAGAAAGAAGATATAAATGTAACATCAATGAGATTATGTACAATCCAAAATTGCATGGGAAATATCAGTATAAACTCATGAAGTATTTTAAGGAAAACAGGCCACATACTTCCTATCTTCGTCCACTCAATAGGTCTAGAAACAATAACCAAAAAGGTACCATTATGCAGTCTAGACTGTGGCCCCTACAGATTACTTTCCGCTACAAGAAACCAGGGCTTGGAACTTTCTGTCAAAATAAAAAGCAAGGGGGCTTCCCTGGTGGCGCAGGGGTTGAGAGTCCGCCTGCCGATGCAGGGAACACGGGTTTGTGCCCCGGTCCCGGAAGATCCCACATGCCGTGGAGCGGCTGGGCCAGTGAGCCATGGCCGCTGAGCCTGTGCGTCCGGAGCCTGTGCTCCGCAACGGGAGAGGCCACAGCAGTGAGAGGCCCGTGTACCGCAAAAAATAATAAATAAATAAATAAATAAATAAAAAGTAAGGAAACCATCAAAGACTAGTACTAGGATCACGTCTGAGACTTGCGAGACAACTTCAAGAGGCTCTCACTGGCCAAAGATGGGACAATTTGAACATCCATAAGAACAATAACTGTAGTGGACTTCAAAAATATCTAATACATTTAAAATTATGATTTCACTATAAAACTCTAAGGATACTCATTGATCATCTTCGGAGAATGCCTGGAAACTGGTAAATAAAGAGAAAGAATTAACCCTTTACCCTTCTTTTCCTATGCAAAATACATATAGTTTGCACAGTAATAAAATGTAATCAGATGGTTTATGAGGGGAGGTTTCTCTTTATGGAAGTACTCCAGCTAATATGTGAACATGGGATGAAAAAATTAGAATATCACCATTTTGCTACCTCTAATGAATTAAAGGATTATCAGTGGCTGCTAACACACCAAAGAGGCTTCAACTAGGCATTATGTAGCTTCTGGTAGTAGATACCAGAAATATGAAATAACCAATGCCAAAAATTTTTTTAAAAATCAAAATCTGAATCTGATCAAGCCTCTAGATTTAACTAACAATATAAAGGAAATACAGGAGACAGAAGTGCATGTTAAAAAAAACCCCATGGGGATGCAATAAATAAAATCCATATTGTGACAAATCCTAAATCAATGCTGTCCAACATAAATATAATGCAAGTCACAAATGGAATTTTAAATTTTCTAGTAGTCACATTAAAAATAAAAAGAAACAGGTGAAATTAGTTTTAATAATATATTTTAGTTAGTCTAATATGTACAAAATATAATTTCAACATGCAATCAATACAAAAATTATTAATGAGATAATTTACATTATTTTTTGTGTTAAGTGTTTGAAATATGATGTGTATTTTAAGTTAACAGTACATCTCAACTTGAACTAGTCACATTTCAGGTACTCAACAGCCACATGTGGCTAGTGGCTCTTGTATTGGACATCACAGCTCTAAAATACAAATGACTTGGTTTCTTCAATAAATGATTACAAAGGGAAAAAAAGAGGGAGGGGGAAACCTCTAGATTAAAAGTGACCTAAGAGACAATATCAGCTAATATGACTCAACTGGGGAAACAAATACCAAATTAATATGTGATAATATTAAAGCTTACTGTTCATGTTTTAGCTGTAATTATGGTATTATACTTAAAACTAAAAAAATCTGTTACAGATGTATAATGAAATATTTATAGATAAGATTACATAATGTCTTGGATTTGCTTCAAAATAACCAGTGAGGGAGGGTAGTATTACAGATGAAATATGATTGCCATGGGTGTTAAGTGTTGAAGGTTCAATGGGATTCATCAAACTATTCCCTCTACTTTTGTGTAAGTATGGTTCATATTATTTGTCAGGTACTGATATGAAGGCTTTTAATGTAATGATTGAATCCTCACAATAAGGAAGGTGCTATTTACAGATAAGGAAAGTGAGGCATCGAGAGGTTGGTGCCTTGCCTAAGTTCACAGAAGACACAAACTCTCGATTCAAATCCAGGCAGTTTGGTTCCAAAATTCAAACTCATAACCACTATACTCTATGATCTGGTAAATTAAGAACCCTACTTAGCTGACTTATCAGGCAAAGGTCTCAAGTTAGACTGTATTTGGCTAAGGTATGCTCTGTATCAGAAGAAACAGATTTCCTCTGGAGTGTTTTTCTGCCATACAGATATGTATGCTTATCAAATTGTTTAAATCTTTTTATTTATTAGGACCTTAAAGTTTGTGAAGCATGTTTTATATAATTCTACTAATAATAAAACATGGCTAATGTGAGAGATAATGACAGTTCATAAACTGTTAATATTGTTAATCACTTCACACATAACTCAAATGATAATGAACTTACTGCGTTTGTTTTCTTTTCCCATCTGGAGCTAAGCCCCAGGAAAAATCTAAGAAGGCCCTCAGCTCTCACCTCTGGCTACCTTGAGGCTCTGCAAGCAAGAAGTGAAGTATGTGATACAGGATACTTTATCATTAGGAATTATAATGTGACCATCTGTCAAATTAGGGCTGCCACCACTGAGAGAAATAAAATCTGTCAAAATGATGCTACCAGCCCTGGGGTTACCACACCTAACGAGCAAGATGGTTCTTATGGTGACCCTGCAATGTGCTGGAACATTAAGAATTAGTGCAGTAAAAGAGGTGCCGTCTCTTCATTCCCCTTAGATACAATGCCGAGTATTACCTTTACCAATTCTTGTTCTTCTGCCTGAAGGTGAAGATCTTCATTTGGCTGGGGAACTTCAGGACTCTAAGGGGATACAGGATAAGATGCCTATTACCTACAACAGAGTCTCAGCAAGCACCATCAGTCCACTGTGGATGCGGTGTATGTGAGATCACCTCTTTTACTGTTTTATTCAGGGATGAAATTAAGGTCCCATAGCAACATCCAAACATAATCTTCTTTCACCTCATTTGAGACAATGACACACACAAGACTGAGAAAGATACAACTGCATAATTTTTAAAGGAGACTTTTAACAAATAACCTATCAAAACAAAAATAAACTTATAATAAGGGGTCTTAGATGCTACATAATTCTTTTTCCTATGAGGATGAAATCTGTTTCTCAGAAATAATCTATCTTGCTCAAGAATAACATTCAAAACCTACTAACACCATCTGTTTTCTATAACTCAAAGATCATGTCTGGGGGTTGGGGGGGGCCTGTCTCAGTACTCTTTCAGGGAATATTTCAGGGACCTCTCACAACATTGCTTTCTTCCAAATCTTAGACACTATATGCCTATAAAGACCTGATTTCATAGATGAAATGAAATTTTACTATAACTTCTAGTAGTACTTACTGATTTTAGATTTTTTAAATTTATGGGTAACAGAACTATTAAATTTCATTGAGAAAAACGTTATCTTAGTTCTTCCCTTTCAAGTTCTTACTTTAAAAAGTACAAATATTCAGGGGACTTCCCTGGTGGTGCAGTGGTTGAGAGTCCGCCTGCTGATGCAGGGGACACGGGTTCGTGCCCCGGTCCGGGAAGATCCCACATGCCATGGAGCGGCTGGGCCCGTGGGCCATGGCCGCTGAGCCTGTGCATCCGGAGCCTGTGCTCCGCAACGGTAGAGGCCACAACAGTGAGACGCCCACATACCGCAAAAAAAAAAAATCCACCTGCCAATGCAGGGAACACGGGTTCGAGCCCTGGTCCAGGAAGATCCCACATGCCGTGGAGCAACTAAGCCGGTGCGCCACAACTACTGAGCCTGCGCTCTAGAGCCCGCGAGCCACAACTACTGAAGCCCGCGGGCTTAGAGCCGGTGCTCCGCAACAAGAGAAGCCACTGCAATGAGAAGCCCGCGCACCACAACGAAGAGTAGCCCCCACTCGCTGCAACTCGAGAAAGCTCGTGCGCAGCAACAAAGACCCGACGCAGCCAAAAATAAATATATTAATTTAAAAAAAAGTACAAATATTCAGCTTCCAAAAACTTAAGGATGATGTGAACCTCAACCTCTGATAATTAGAGATGTGTTTGATCTGGCCTATACTAGATAAATACTTTAGATCTACTGATAAAGTGAAACATTTTGGTTTTCATTTATCTTTTCAAGGGTATGTCTTAAGAACTATTTACATGTTTTATATTCTTGCTACAAAAAAATAAAAGATCATTACTACAAGTTATTATGGGTAATTTCTGTAACAAATTGTATTTGTTGGTACTACCTTTCTTCTGAATCTCCTACTTCAAAAAGTCACTTCTAAAACACAGCTTTAATCACATTAATACCCACCTCAAACACATCCAAACACACACACATACATATATACACTTAAATGTCTTCAGGGAAACATGAAAAGATTCAGCTTAATTATCTAAATTCCCGTCCTATCTTTCACAAATTTCCATCTTGAATCACTGGCTCACTCACTGTTCTCTGCCTCAGAGCCTTGCCTTCTCACCTGAAGTACCTTCACAAATAATTTACAACAATTTAAATCCCACTTGTAATTGGGTACCAGCTTAAATCTAACCATCCTCATGAGCTTTCCATGACCGATTCAGCCCATACTAATATCCCATTTCTTTCCTTACAAAAGCACTCATCAACTTTATCATACTGCTCAGTAACTATCATTCACCTAAATAAATTATGTAACTATTTCTTTTGTATGCCTTACCTCAGTGAGACTGTAAGCACCCTACAGCCAAGCACTGTGTCTTAAACATCTTCTTTCTCCCCATGTCATCTATTAAGCTTGATCATTTCTTAATGGGTAGAAAAGAACACTAAGAGTGGGCACAAGGGAAATGGTCCCTATGAATTAAGGGTGTGTGTGTGGATGCACATGTATTGTTTTGCTCAAAATTTCCTAAACAAAATTTTCCAACTGGAAAATATTCCATTCTACTACCCCATAAATAACTGAAATTTCCTGGGAACAATACAAAGTTAACATCATAAGTAAATTTTCCAGACTGCCTATCATATCTAAAGATAGCACAGATTTTTTCTGCAAGATTACGTGTCTTGATACTTGTTTCAATATGCATAGTGAATCTTCCCATAGATTACAAGCTTTACTATGATGAACCAAATTTTCATGGAGCAAACAACTTGATTCAGTTACCAAAGGGAGTGTGGGTGAGGTCAAGTCATATGACTTCAGGAAAAGTAGTCGTCCTTTCAAAGCAGGACAACAGGTCAGAAGCAGAGGAAACCTCAACTTACCAGAGGTCCAACTGAAAAAACCACAGCAGCCATAATCTCTTCCTCTGGGCTCCCCTCTCTGGAAAGACAGGAGTCCTGCAAAGACATATCTAAGAAAGAGAAATAAGCCATGAAAACCAATCCTGCCTTGGAAATCTCACACTTACCAAGTTGAAACGCTGACATTACAAATAAGTATGACTTTGCTAAAGAACACAAGATTAACCTGCGCGATCGGCGAGGAAATATGATTCTTAACCAGTGTAGAGCTTGAGATTTTAATACCACGAAATGTAGTTATAGCTGGCAGATCAGACACTGTACAAGGAGCTTTGAAACTACTTTCTCACTTGACCGTCACATCACCCAATGGAAACTAATTCCCGTTCCACCGGTGAGGAAACTGAGGCTTAGGAAAACTAGACTACTGATATTTTACCCAAGCTGTGTAGGGTCCCAGATCAGTCTAGTTCCAGGCCACGCCTGCCCCACTACCTCAACTTGCTGGGAAAGAAAACAATTCCATCTTCCCTTGCCACAACCACCGCCTCCTCTAACAGTGGAATAATCCAGTAATCTCTTTCTTCCCATCCTTCCTCGGAAGAGAGAACTCACTAAAACTTCCACAGGCCTCTGCTCCATTTAAAGAGAACACCACAACTCCAAACTTAAAAGATATTAGAAGTCTTGTACATGCCTCTCTCAATCGCATATTCAAATAGATCTTTATCTATCCTTTCTATATCAGGCAAACCCAAATAGAAAAGAAGTAGGGATAACAATAATGATATAAGAGAAAGTGGAATCCAATGCACAAAGCACTGAGCAGTAGTTGTTTCATACTGAAAATAGTTATATGCCTAATAAAGGCTTTACACTGTGGAGAAACAGGGTGGCAGATATCTTGTTCAGATACCCCAGGCATTGATTCTGCCTTCTGTCTTTGGTTAAAGATATGGCCTTGCTGATGCTGAGTTTGGTTTGAAAACAAGAAGAGCCTGAGGTTAGTAAACATTCTCTTAACAAGTGCATGGTTGCAGAATGATGCTGCAAGGCATATAAAAGGGCAGTGGCACAGTGAGAAATGAGCTTTCCAAATCTTGTGAAATTCTACTCTTTAATAAGAGTTTCTTAGACAGTTTGACATTCTCACTACCCAGTAGAGCTTTTGGGGCCCAAAGGAATCTAGGCCGAATTATGCTGAATCTGTCCCTGCCTTATATGTACAATTTGCCTCCATTAAGAATCCACATCCGGCCCAGTGGGGAAAAAAAGAAAAAAAGAATCCACATCCAAGAGCTCTGTGCTCAGAAGTATAAAGACCAGCAGCATCAACACCACCAGAGAGCTTGTGACACGTGCAAGACCTCAGACCCAACTCCAGAAACAACCGAATCAGAATCAGCCTTTTGTTAAGATCTCTAGGTGATTCATATGCACACATTGAAGTTTAAGACACACTGATCTAAAACAGATCATTCCAATAAATTGGACAACCCAGAAGAAATAGATAAATTCCTAGAAACAGACAACCTACCAAAACTGACTCATGAAGAAATAGAAAACCTAACAGACTGATCACTAGTAAGGAGATTGAATCAGTAATCAAAACTCTCCCAATCAACAAAAGTCCAGGACCATATGGCTTCACTGGTGAATTCTACCAGATGTTTAAAAAATACCAATCCTGCTCAAACTCTTCCAAAAAACAGAAGGGAACACTTCCAAACTCATTTTATGAAGCCAGCATTACCCTGATACCAAAACCAAGCAAGGGTACTACAAGAAAAGAAAATTATAGGCCAATATCCTTGATGAACACTGATACAAAAATCCTCAAAAAATATTGGCAAACTGAATTCAACAATGCATTAGAAGGATAATGTACCATGATCAAGTGGGATCTATTTCAGGGATGCAAGGATGGTTCAACATCTTGCAAATCAACAAATGTGACACACCACATTAACACCATGCAGGATAAGAATCATATGATCCTCTCAACAGGGCTAGAAAAAGCATTTGACAAAATTCAACATCATTTATGATAAAAACTCTCAACAAAGTGGGTATAGAGGATATGTACCTCAACATAATATATGTTATGGGAAGCCCACATATTATTGGAAGTTCTAGACACAGCAATTAGGCAAGAAAAAGAAATAAAATGCAACCAAATCAGAAAGGAAGAATTAAAATTGTCACTATTTGCAGATGACATGATTTTATATATAGGACCCCCTAACAGATCCTGCCAAAAACTGTAGGAATTAGTGAACAAACGCAGTAAAGTTGGAGGATATAAAATCAATATACAAAATCTGTTGTGCTTCTGTACACTAATAATGAACTATCACAGAGAGAAATTAAGAAATCAATCTCATTTACAATTGCTTAAAAAAAAGAATAAAACACCTAGGAATAAATTTAACCACGGAAGTGATTGGCTGGTATACATTGAAAATCTAAAGACATTAAGTGGAAAGATATTCCATGCTCATAGATTCAAAGAACTAATGTTGTTAAACTGTCCATACTACTCAAAGCAATCTACAGATTCGATCCAGTATCCATCAAAATTTGCAAGGCATTTTTCACAGAAGTAGAACAAGTAATTCTAAAATTTGTATAGAACCACAAGAGACCCCAAATTGTCAAAGCAATCCTGAGAAATAAGAACAAGGCTGGAGGCATCATGCTTCCTGATTTCAAACTATATTACAAAGCTAGAGTAATCAAAACAGTATGGTACTGGAAAGAGAAGACACAGATCAATAGAACAGAATAGAGTACAGAAATAAACCCACACATAAATTTACAATTAATTTACAACAACAGAGCCAAGAATATACAATGGAGAAAGAACAGTCTCTTCAATAAATGGTGTTGGGGAAACTGGACAGCGATCTGCAAAAGAATGAAACTGGACCCCTAACTTACACCATACATGAAGATTAACTCCAAATGGATTAAGTAATTGAATATAAGGTCTGAAACCATAAAACTCCTAGAAGAAAACATAGGCAGTAAACTCCCTGACATCAATCTTGGCAATGACTTCTCAGGCACCAGAAGGAAAAATAAACAAGTGGGACTACATCAAACTAAAACTTCTGCACAGCAAAGGGAAGTCCAGAAAATGAAAAGGCAACCTATGGAACAGGAGAAAATATTTGCAACTCATATATCTGATAAGGGATTAATACCCAAAACACAAAAAGAACTCATACAACTCAACAGCAAAAAAGCAAATAATCTGATGTAAAAAATGGGCAGGGATAAATAGATATTTTTCCAAAGAGGACATACAGATGGCTAACAGGTACATGAACAGGTGCTCAACATCACTAATCATCAGGGAAATGAAAATCAAAACCACAATGAGATATCACCTCACACCTGTCAGTATGGCTGTTATCAAAAAGACAAGACATAACAAGTGTTGGCAAAAACATGGAGCAAAGGGGACACTTTGCACCACTGGTGGGAATGTAAGCTGGTGCAGCCATTATGGAAAACAGTATGGAGATTACTCCAAAAATTAAAAATATAACCACCATATTTTCCAGCAATTCCACTTCTGGGCATTTATCCGAAGGAAAAGAAAACACTAACTCCCAAAGGTATCTGCACCCCCTGTTACTGCAGCATCATTTACAACAGCCAAGACGTGGAAGCCACCTAAGTGTCCACTGATGCACGAATGCATAAACAAAAAGCGCACGTGCCCACAGTGGAATATTAGCCACAAAAAAGGAGGAAATCCTGCCGTTTGTGACAACATGGGTGGACCTTGAGGGCATTATGCTAGGTGAAGCAAGTCACAGAAATAACGTGCAATCTCACTTATATGTGGAACCTAAAAACAAAACACCCGAGACTCATAGAGACAGACTGGTGGTTGGGAGGAGGTGGGAAAATGGGCGAAGGTGGTCAAAAGGTACAAACTTCCAGGTATAAAATAAGCCAGTCCTGGGACTATAATGCACAGCACAGTGACTAGAGTTAACAATACTGTGTTGCGGGAATCCCCTGGCGGTCCAGTGGTTCGGACTGGGAGCTTTCACTGCCCTGGCCGGGGTTGGATTCCCTGGTCGGGGAGCTG